GTTGTGCTGCTTAATTTTTTTTTTTTGGAACCTGTGATACTTTTTTCTTTGATTCTTTGATTAATAAAACTTTAAAAAGAACAGCATTTATTCAAAATAGAAATCTTTTCTAAAAATAAAATATCACTTATCACTTTTTATCCATTTAACACATCCTTGCTGAATAAAAGTATTCTAAAAGTTTCTTAAAAAAATAAGCTATATTTAACACAAAATATTTATTTTGAATAAATACTGTTCTTTTTAACTTTTTATTTATCAAAGAATCCTGAAAAAATATCACAGGTCCCAAAAAATATTAAGCAACACAAATGTTTCCAGCATTGATAATAAATCAGCATATTATTATGATTTCTGAAGATCATGTGACACTGAAATCTGGAATAATGATGCTGAATATTCAGCTTTGCTTCACAGGAATAAATTATATTTTAAAGTATATTAAAATAAAAAACTGTTTTGTTAAATTGCAATAATAGGCTATTTCACAAAATTACAGTTTTCTTTCTGAATTTTTGATAAAATAAATGCAGGCTTCATGAGCATAAGAACCTCTTTAAAAAACATTAAAAATCTTACTGATCCCAAACTTTTGAACGGTAGTGTATATATATATATATACATATACACTGCCGTTCAAAAGTTTGGGATCAGTAAGACTTTGGGAGAAGTTTTTTGGGAACAATGGGAGAACATTTAACTGTTCATGAGGTAGATTGCCTATAGACTATATATATATATAAATCTACCTCATGAAGTTAAATGTTCTCCCATTGTGCAATACAAATATGGGCAATAACCTTATACTATTTATCACTTTACATCCTAGTACATCCCTACAACTTCATTTTTTATTCTATTTATATTCTACAGTATTTTATCTATAGCACACCTGTACATATTTATCCTTTGTGTGTGTGCTTTATTTATATTTATACATATGTGTATTTTATTCACATCTTATTTTTATTATGTGTGTGTTGTTGTTGTGTCTGTGTACTGGAAGCTTGTGACACTAAAACAAACATACTTGGCAATAAAGCTCTTTCTGTCTTCTGATGCCTGTGTGTAATATACAGTAGGCCTACTACAGTATAGATGAAAATGCATATTTTTAAATGAAAGAGAACTTATAGAATAAATATGGACTGCTTTGGGTGCTTGACACTTCATTGGTCATTGTGTGTATAAAGAATGCTATTCAAGGTTAAGAATACTCGTCCCGTATTTAAGGCATCAAAGGAGCGTTCCGTATGAAAATAATCAATTAATCGTTTTACAAAGCTTTTTACACTTATATTAATGCATTTAGCAGACGCTTTTATTTACCAAAAACAATTTACCAAAAGCAAACTGTCAAAGAGACACGCTTTTGGTGAGTTTCATTTACTACTCATTAATTTGAATGAACGTTTGTAGCTCAGGGTGCTCAAAGGAGCCTTCGGGAATATAAGGTTTATTGACGTCTGCGCACATTAACCAATGAGAGTCGAGGCAGAGCGCGAGAGCCAATCAGGGGCGAGACCGTTTCTGCGTCAGTGACGTGCCGTCAGTGCGTGCGCAGAGCTCGCGTGCCCTTGGCGTTCGTTGAACTACAGAATCAGTTTAGTAAAGGTATGATTGACGTTCAGGTGTGATTTATGCTGTTAATAACCGTGTTTGCTGTAAACTTTATTTGTGTGTGAACACAAGAGAGAGAGAGCTGTTCACACATCGCTTAGTTTTCCTCACCAGAACATTAAATCCTCGTTAAACTCCAGATATTCTTGTTAAACTGCAGATTTGAGGCGTTTTCTCTCCAGATCGCGATGTTTTTGCGCCGAGCTCTCCTTGATTCCTGCGATGATTCATGAACTCGTTCTTTGCAGAAACTGTCTGTTATCAGGATTGAACAGATAATGAACAAGATCCAAGAACAGCTCGCTGATTCTGGCTGAACCGCACCGAACCTGCCAGAACACTTCTGTTCTTCACATTATATACATTTGTTTTAAAAATAGTATCACAATGCAATCTTGGTCCTAAAAACAAGTTTAATTTTCTTGACATGAGTAATGTGATTTTCATGTTCTGATGCTTGAACTCTATTGAAAGGAATAAAGGTTTGGAAAGTGATGATGATGCTGTTGTGGGGTAATATGTTCGCTGTGTTATATTTAATTCATGTCTCTTCTTCAGGATGGGTTTCCTGCTCTCCAAATCCATGCAGCAGAGCTTCCAGAAGCAGCAGGAGTTCATGCTCCTCAACACACGGCTGCAGGTGCATCTCACACACACACACTCTCACACTCTCTCTCTCTCTCTCTCTCTCTCTCTCACACACACACACACGACAACACACACACTCTCACACACACACACACGACAACACACACACACATACACACTCACACACATACACACTCTCTCTCACACACACGCACATGACAACACACACACACACACAGGTTTGTTTTTGTGAAAAGTGGGGACATCCCATAGGCGTAATGGTTTTTATACTGTACAAACTGTATTTTCTATTGCCCTACACCAACCCTACCCCTAAACCTACCCCTCACAGGAAACTTTGTGCTATTTCAGATTTTCAATACACTCCATTCTGTGTGATTTATAAGCGTTTTGAAAAGTGGGGACATGGGGTAATGTCCTGAAAAGTCACCTTCTCCTTGTAATACCTATGTTATACCTTTGTCATTATACAAATTTATGTCCTCATTTGTCACAAAAACACACACGCACACTTCTGTAGAATCACCTGTCGTTTTCAACATCTAGGATGATTGTAAAGATTGCCGTCATGATCCAGAGCCTCAGCGTGTGTTTTTATTACACGTTTCCGCTGATCTCCAGTTAGCCGAGAGCCACCAGCGTTTTATTGCAATCGTGTTCTGCACGAAATGCTCGTTTTCTGATGGATCTCGGCCCGTGAGGCAGTCATCATCTGTGAAAAATCTCCACCCGCTGACAGATTATGAAGAATTCAGTAAAATATGGTTGCGTTTGTTCCACAAATATCAGCTCGTAAAGCTGTGATGAGGAATATGTGAGTCACAGCACTGAATTCACTCTCATTCCCTGCTTTTCATATTTCTTCCAACAGAATTACTTCTCCAGCTTTAGTTTTAGACATGAGATCACAAAATAACTATGTATTTCATTGAAACATCATAAGGCTCATTCCGCTGCTTGTGAGCTGTATATGTAGCTCTCAATATGTCTTCATGATGTAGTTTATGTCAGTAACATAAAGCAGTGCTGCCCGTGTAAACTAGCTCATTACTGTATTTACACGATCAGATAAGCAGAGATGCGCGGTGATCCTGGTTTCTTGTATTCTCGGGGTTTGGTCAGTGCAGGTATTTCTGACCCACAGGCGCGCTCAGACGCTCATAAATACTCGTTATCACCCACAATCTAATAAACGTCCCAAAGCTCCTCCAGCACTTCCAGGAATGTCTGCTCATCTTTCTAAATATTGTTGTTAGTCATTGAACATCATATTTACTGCAGTTTTTTTTAGGATAATGAAAAATCGTGATCTTTGTGCTTCAAAAATGTGAGCGCAACAGATCCAAATTACACTCTTCTCCGCTGCTTTCAAATCTCACAGTAAAATTACAGGAATTGGATTTTAAAACATGTTTTTAAATATTTATACATATATGTCAGTTTGGACTGTTGAGTTAATTGTGTCATTCTGTTCAGGTGTGTGTACTTAATGATCCTTGTTTGGTCTGTGTATTAAAGCTCCTGAGTGATTCGTTCTAGTTTGTCCGGTTTCATCAATGTTTGTGCTAGTGTTGGATTAAAGACTTTCTAAATCTTCTTCTTCGTCGTCTTCGTGCGTTTTATACAGCGTAGCTGTGACTAAACACACTGCCGTTCAAAAGTGTGGGATCAGTAAGACTTGTAATGTTTTTTTAAAGAAGTCTCTTCTGCTCATCAAGGCTGCATTTATTTGATCAAAAATACAGAAAAAAAACAGTAATCTTGCAAAAATGTTATTACAATATAAAAAACTTGGTTTCTATTTTAATATCCTTTAAAATATAATTTATTTCTGTGATGCAAAGCTGAATTTCCATCATCATTACTCCAGTATAAAGTGTCACATGATCTTCAGAAATCATTCTAATATGCTGATTTATTATTAGAATTATCAATATTATTTTTGGAAACTGATACTTTTTTCAGGATTCTTTGATGAATAAAAAGAACAGCATTTATTCAAAATATAAATCTTTTCTAATAATATAAATCTTTGCTGTCACTTCTTATCAATTTAACACATCCTTGCCGAATAAAAGTTTAAATTTCTTTAAAAAAAAAGAAAGAAAAAAAATGTACTGACCCCAAACTTTTGAACGGTAGTGTATATTGTTAGAAAAGATTTCTATTTTAAATAAATGCTCTTCTTTTTAACTTTTTATTCATCAAAGAATCCTGAAAAAAGTATCACAGGTTCCAAAACAATATGAAGCAGCAACAGTTTCCAGCACTGATATATATAATTTTTTGATTATTTTTTACATTTTAAAATTAAAATATATATTTTTAAAAAGCTGTCTTACTAAATTAGCATTTTTGCATTATTTAGGTCTAAAATGACTGACGTTGGTTACAGTATGACTGAAGAAATAAACTCGGTAAGTAATTCCAGTGAGTAAATGATGAGGTAAATGAAGGCTCGTTTGTCTCAAACTGCCGAAGCGTCTCGCGTGTAAAGATGGTTGACCCTGATGAGGCTCGTAACGCCGTCGCTCGTCTGCGTCTCGTCTCTTTGTCCAGCGGTCAGACGTTTGACCGGCTGTCAGGCCTGTTTCTCGTCTCTTTGTTTGTCACTTCCGCTGCTCTGAAACTCAAACTAATGGCATTTTAATTGTCCTGAAAAGGCAAGATGATGAAATTGTGGGTTACGTGTGTGCTGTCGCTCAGAAAACAGATGGACGCTCCTCAGTCCATTCCACGGTTTTTACTTCAGCATGGAATTAATGTCTGATCACAATCACATTCATGCATTCAGCAGACGCTTTTACACCAAGAGAGAAAGCAAAACCTCAGTGACGTCCATCAGGTTTCAGCATGCTGTTTAAAATGTGATAAACTATATTCTATATATTCATATTCTAACGGCTATATATTCATATAAAGTGGCTTTCATATATTTCTTGTACTTGACATAAGCGGCCGTCTCAGTGCTGTTTCTAAACGGTTCACAGATGCATGTGTTTTGTCACATTAAACACGGATCATCGGGCCGGTTCATTGCACTCTGTCGGTCAGTCTTTCGTCTGCTTTACGGTTAACAGAGCCGTCCAGAACTCTTCACACGTGGCCGTTCAGGGAAATGTCAGTGAGTTTCCCGCCGGAGCAGCGGTGTTTTCACTTCATCACCTCCGTGTCGCTCTTCACCATCTCATCGAATCAGCGTTCGTCCTTGGATTGAGAAAGCAGCATCATGAAGGACTTGTCTGATCTCATTTAGGATGATTAACATGACGGTAATCAATGAAAACACACTCGCCCGTTTATGTGGAACTGCTTGACATTTAATTACAGCACCTGCAGATAAACACCTGACAGATGTGTTTGAAATCTTGACGTCTGCACATCTGCAGCTATGTTTACGTGAAACTAAATAATCCGTTAGTAATCAGACTGATGACTCAATCGGACTGAAAGCCTTCGTGTAAACACCTCAGAAATTTCCACGCGATTGAAAGTGTTGCTGTAGACCTGAAATAACGTAAACACTTGAGTCAGGACACTGAATATTTAATAAATGGTGGGTTCCTCCGGTTCTGCGCATGCGCTGAAGTTTTGTTCTGAATTCATGTAATGATTTGCCTGTAAATTAATGTGTGAATCTGATTGAAACAGTTACAGTTTATATAAACAGGACTTTCATAATCTGAAATCAGATTGGACTCAGGCCATGTCCACACGTACATGGGAGTTTTTCCTTCCATTTAAAAAAAAAATCTCCGTCCACATGAAAACGCAAATGCATGATATGAAGCACTGTCAAGAGCATGCCAAACCAACAGGTGGCGATGATCTCAACCGTAAAGCCATGTAAAGCCAATCAGAAGCCTGAAAAAGTCTCCAGTAGGCGGAGATAACAGCGCAGGCTCCGACGTCACAAGCCAAAAACTCCGGTTTCGCGGTCTACACGATAACACTGCAACCAGAGTTTCTGAAAACCTTCACCCTGGCAGGCGTTTTCAGAAACGTTCGGTTTCAGTGACCTGGTGCTGTGTTTGCGTGTGGACGAACGGCCTAACCGCGCAGAAAAAGCTGCGGTTTTAAAAATAACCGCGTTCGTGTGGACAGGGCCTCATTCTGCTTGACAGAAATAATGCGTGTTTGAGGCACGAACGCTTTCAGCTCAGATGAGATGAACGAGACCTCGGCGCACTCACACTATTAGCTTGATTAGCACTTAACGAGCTGATTGGTTAAAGGTAATTAATACCTTTGTGTCAAGTGGAGTGGTGCTAAATGATTGGACCCTGGGGGTGGCTGGGTTATCGCTGACTTCACCTCGTTAACAAACTTTATTCCTGGCAATTTACATAATTTTGTACAGAGGAGGTTTCGTCATCATCATCATTGTTAAAACACCTGACGAGTGTGAGATCAGGGAACCTGTAATCGGTCACAGCACGTCTGATTCACAGCAATGTCCAGCTTTTACCATCAAATTAAAGCTGCTTAAAGAAACTCCTTGTAAAGTCGTGTCGGAGAACTTCGGCTTGCCGACAGGAAGTGGTTTTGATGAAGTGCGTCTGACCTCGAGACAAAAGATGGAAATGTGAGATGTTAACAGGCCACATACACATGCAATTATGCTAACGAGGACTGCTGAATAATCAACTAAATGAGTGTTCATTTGCATATTGTCTGTGACAGATAAGAGCTGTCAAATGGTGTTTCATTTGGTCATGCAGAGCAAAACGCCATCACCTGTGTGTGTGTGTGTGTGTGTGTGTGTGTGTGT